CGAAAGAATGGTCTCAAGAATCTAACTTCATTAGATTACATTCTCCCAATCACAAATTCCTTGGACTTTATTGTTTAAGCATATAACATTTATATGAGACGGCTCAAACAATAATGTATGCCCTTTATATGTAAAACTAGATTAGTTTAACATGTGAAATGTCCGTAAAGTATCATCACATGATTGGATTTAGGGCACATTTCCAACATGAAGACGACGGAATATTCCATCAAGTCTGACGGAATATTCCAAGGCCGTTAGTTAGATTTAATGGTAACAGTTAGAAGTTGACGGAATATTCTTGACGGCGTTAACTGACGCCGTCAGCGTGCCTAGCATGTGCCTGCGTGTGGGCGGCGCATATTGCCGTGCCTTGGCTAGTGCGTGGATGGTCGGAAAAATATTATAAAAATATGGAGATGATCATGAGGTTGTGTAGGTCACTGTGGTATATTCAGATACCCAATTTGAGCTATGTATGAGAAGTTATTACATAGTTTGGTATATGTGCATTAAAGTAACGTTTATATAGTTGTTTCGCTTATAGGTGAGGCCTATTCTCAGGACGAGCATAATCAATCGAGGCTCAGGGGCTACGACCCATCGACATATCTGTGAGTGGGCAGTTATTTTCTGTATATATATATACTTGACGTTTTTCCCAGAAAACGTATTTAAAGGAAATGCGATTTAAATGCCATGCACATGAATTTATATTTCGTACATGAATTGGAATGTGAAGCTTTATGTGATGTGGACGCTCAGGTAAGCTTAGGTAAGTTGTGTTGGTTATGTGAATCATCGATGATGTGATATGTGATTGAATAATGTTGAGCTCATAAAACTGCACCTAGGGTGATTGTGATTTAGCCAGAGACATGAAGTACAAGCATGTTTATTATGTCATCCCCACACTATATGCTTATATTGGATCCAATTTAAGTGCATAGTCTTGTCGTACAGACCTTATTTATGGTTCCAATTCGTAGGTGACTAGCGATTTATCGCCCGGTTATTATGAGAGAGTAGAATTGAGCATAATTATATTACACCCAATCTTGTCGTACATACCCTTTTTATTAGTGGTTCTGACTTATGTGCAGTATATTGCCGTATAGGTCATTGTAGTGACTCTGGCTATATTGACTTTTGAGCTATGAATTCAGTCGTACAAACTACCACATGGGTTCCGGCTAATATGTTATATTTCTATGAATTTATTCTTACCTGAATTGCTTACCTTGTTATATCTTGGCATGGCATACATATGATTATGAATATGTAAAGCATGATTTGAAATGATACATTTATATACATATTTATGTATTCTATTTTCTGGGAAAGTAACCATATACTTGTTTTACGGCGAGGAGTTAGTATATTCAAAAGCAAATAAGGTTTTCGTGTAAATGTGTTTTACTGACCCACTCAACTTGTTTTTCGCCCATCCAGGTCTTAGATAGCAGAGTTTGGTGGCCACGAGGACTCCAACAGTGTTCTAACATAATCCGAAAAAGTAGGATTCACCTTCGGGTGTTGTATTTTAGTGATTGTTCTACTTGACTGCAACTAGACTCTCTTATTGCTCTGAAAGTGTATTTATACACTTAAACTCTCACTAGCATCCTTTCTTAATTGGGATTGTTAGTTGCTTGGTTTTAAGTTGTTAGTATTCCCTTACTCTTATTGCTTCTGCTTTGTGCACATGGCTACATCACTCTCACGTGACGGCCAGCACGTCTCGACTTCGGGCGGGGTGTGTCAGCTCAAGCCATCGAACCCTGTTCTCCTGGTTGCTTGCAGAACCTATTGATGAAAACGATAATTGATTGAGGATGATAAGAGGCATCGTGAAGGTTTATGCATCTGGGCAAGTGGGAGGGCTGTTGGAAAAGAAAAAATGAGAAAGACAAGTGATCAGAATGGAAGGGGAAGGCGTGGGGTCTATGCATTTGAACAAGTATGAGGGTAGTTGGGAAAGAAAAGGCTAAGGATGCATCTGGGCAAAGAGGTGGAATGAGGATGATGAAAGATCGGGAAGAAGAATGAGTTTTTTTTATCATATAACAAATGGGTGGGAATGGATGAGGATGCATCTAGGCGAAAGGGTGGGATAAGGATGGTCTAATATTTTTATTTTTTTATTAAATAACTATACTTTTTATTAACACAAAATCTTACGTGATGAAATTTATTAGTATGATATAAAATTAAATTTCATTAACTAGCATGAAAACAAATTATGTTATACAAGGGTAGTTTAGTAATCAAATTAGTTTTAATAACAAGTTATATGAAATCAATATCATTTTTACTTTGATTCCAGTTAGTATAGTAAACAACTTTAACATGAATCTTATTTTGTTTCCTCCTCAATTCAATTCATCTTTAATCTAATTCATTTTAATTCAATTCTCTTTAATTTGAGTACGGATTATTAAACGAGCTATTAAAGAATTCTTCAACATAAAACATGCTATTACTTGATAGTAAATAATATAACAGTTCTATTTTCTCTTGTCGAAATAAATCCTGTCAATCATATACATCTTAGATTGAGTGCGATCTAGGTAATATTTGTCGGTATGTATGGATGCATAGTTGATAAGCTGATTCAATTGCAAAACTACACTATCACGTGCTTCACGTTTTTTTCCATCTAAAAGCAATCCATGCTTTATTAAACTACTCTTTAATTTGAGTACGGATTATTAAACGAGCTATTAAAGAATTCTTCAACATAAAACATGCTATTACTTGATAGTAAATAATATAACAGTTCTATTTTCTCTTGTCGAAATAAATCCTGTCAATCATATACATCTTAGATTGAGTGCGATCTAGGTAATATTTGTCGGTATGTATGGATGCATAGTTGATAAGCTGACTCAATTGCAAAACTACACTATCACGTGCTTCACGTTTTTTTCCATCTAAAAGCAATCCATGCTTTATTAAACTTCTTCACAAAATTCAATCTGATCTTAGTTTGTCGTCATCTTCTATACATCTAACAGTTTAAAATAAGTGGACCGATGGTGTACTATTAGGTCGAAACGGATTCATTTGTAGCTAATCCATTCCCATATAAATATAAATAATTCTTTGGCACGCAAAGACCGACAATTGTGCAGTGTCTTGAATGGGTGCATTTTGTATTGACGGAATGAGGATCCTCTTCGGATTCTCTTTGTAAGAATATTAAGAATTCTTAAATCGTATTCGTTTATCGTATATTGTGCGGTCAGTTTTTGTCAGATACTATTTATATTTAATTTTAAATAAAAATATTTAAAATAATTTATGATCGTGTAATGTACAATGATTGAATATAATTTGAAGATTTCTGAAATTCTTACAAAGAGGATCCGAGGGTTACTATTTATATTTAATTTTAAATAAAAATATTTAAAATAATTTATAATCATGTGATGTACAATGATTGAATATAGTTTGAAGATTTCTGAATTTCTCACTAAGAGGATCCGAGGATCCTCATTCGTATTCGCCTACCAAACTTTAGGATTCGACAATTGCGCACTGTCTTCAATGGGTCCATTTTGTATCCACCTGCCAATTTTTGGGTTCATTGTCAATAATATCATGGATTATGCTAGAAGATTGCAAAGATTGTGTTGAAGATAGGCTTTCTTTATTTTATTTTTATAAGGAACAGAGTGCCACGATTGCTTAATTAAGATGATTAAATAATCTGATATGATCCATGATTGACCGAGTGTTATAATGGCACATATTTTTCTTTTTAATAAGGAAAGATTCAATAATCTGATATGATCCACGATTGACCGAGTGTTATAATGGCACATATTTTTATTTTTAATAAGGAAAGATTTTCACAATTTTTTTTTTTTACTTTCTCACATTCTTGTTAATATATCTCTTCTCTTTTGACTTATTCTGTTTCTGAGAACAAAAATATAATATGTAAGGGACAAAAAGCGAGTGTTAGACCATCTCTAACCGAACAAGGGTCAGATGGTTCATTTTAGTTTTATGGCCCTATAAGATATTGATATTGATACTAATATTTTAATGAATAGTACAGGACCATATTTGCCTCCATCTCCAACCAAGGGCCATATGGCTCGTTTTAGTCCTGTGACAAAAACCGTCTCCAACCGAGGCTAAAGGGCCATAGGGCCAAACATAATTTATTATTTAAATTTAAAAACTACAACAGCTTAAATTTAAAAAAAGGTGAAAATTATGTGAAAATTGGTGTATAAATGACTTAGGTATTTATAGGAAAAAATGGGAATTTAAAAAAATAAATAAATAAATTTGGCCCAAAAAACAAAAAATTAAAAGAGGACAATCTGACAAAAAATGTATTAATAATGAAAAATCCAGCCCGCCTTGGGGCTAGCTGGCTGGATTGAGCCAGCCGGTTGGCCCTTTGGCCCTTTTTTGTCTAGTGGGGCTCACGAACCCTTTGGCCTAGCCCTCGGTTGGAGACAATTTTTGGGCTACTTTTGACCCTTTGGCCCTTTAGACCCTTCGGTTGGAGATGGTTTTAGGATCTAGGCTTGTGCATAATTGACGTTTAATTTTGGGTGGATATGAAAAAAACAGAACTGTGCAGAATCATCTTTCTACATCCAAATACACTAAAAATATCTAACTCTCTCAAATCTCACTTTTAAGCCAAAATCGAAGAGGAAAATAAATAAGACACATGGTAAGTACATTTTAACTTGTTACTTCGGAATCATATAAAGTCGTAAGAGATCGTGTCATTCATATAAAGCTAGATTGAGTGCGATCTAGGTGATATTTGTGGGTATGTGTATGTTTGAATACATCTCCAACGCAGAAATTAAGCATGGATGCATAGTTGATAAGCCTTATGATCTGTTCACCTGTCATCTCTAAAGGAAGACATAAACACCAAACATATGCTCCAAATCAAATGGCCCAATGAAACGTGAGAAATAGTATAAAGACCATTTCCTTTCCTATATATAGATGAGCCTAAAATCAATGATTTTCATATTTGCATAGCAAAAGCTCAAACAGATAGATAAGGAAAAAAAAAAAAAAAAAGCATATCATGCCTATCCCAATTTGTGCAGGAGTCCTTTCGACAAATGCTAAGCCCGAAATTGTTCGTCCGACGGCAAATTTCCCACCAAGCATTTGGGGAGATCGGTTCATCAACTATGATTCCCAAGACATTGTAATCTCTTGCAATTATCATGTCTAGATCTTATATTCCAGATTTGCATGTTGGGAGCTGCTATAGTACTCTAAAAAAATTATTCTGCATTTTACTTATTGAGAAAGTAAAGAGTAGAGCATTATGACTTTTTTGAGTGCTAATAACAATTTTAGTTCGACAAAAAAATAAATTTGCATAAAATCTATCTTCACTTATTTAGTAAATTCTTTTTGGTGCAGACAACTCATGCCCGTAAGAAACAAGAAATCGACGAGCTGAAAGAAGTAGTGAGGAGTGAAGTATTCAAAATTATGGCAAGTGATTTTTCACATCAGCTGAAGTTGATCGATGCAATCCAACGCCTTGGCGTGGCGTACCATTTCGCAAGTGAAATCGAAGAAACACTGGAACGTATGCATGGCACGTTTAATGACCATGAAGATGTTGGTGGTGATCTTCACATTGTTGCTCTTGGTTTTCGGCTACTAAGACAACACGGATATAATGTTTCATGTGGTAGGTTTGAATATATTCATGTACACTAGAGTAATGTGAGTGAGCTTTGCCAACTAATAATTCTCCATTTTTTATAACAATCAAGCAGATATATTCAACAAGTTCAAAGATGCAAATGGCAAATTCATGGAATGCTTAACTGCCGACATTCCGGGCATGCTAAGCCTTTATGAAGCAGCACATCTAGGGGTCCGGGGTGAAGATATACTTGATGAGGCTCTTGTTTTCACCACCACTCACCTTGAGTCAGCTTCAACAACCAATGTAAGCTATCAGCTGGCAGAACAAACAACTCAAGCCTTAGAGCGACCTTTGCAAAAGGATCTAGAGAGGGTATGTGCCAGGCGTCACATGTCAATCTACCAAGATGAAGCTGCACATAACGAAGCTCTACTGAAACTTGCAAAGTTAGATTTCAATCTGGTTCAATCTTTACACAAAAAGGAGCTTAGTGAGATTACTAGGTAAGTCTTTGAATTAGTAAGCATATATAAAAGAGTTTGCAATTAGAGGTGGAGAATAGAGTCTCGGAATATAGCAAAATAATATAGAGTTTATATGTGTGAGTTCACTACAAATATATCATTGAGACCCTTGTGATAAACCTCATAGATGGTTAAATTAAAATAATATCGGTGATCTTGGTGGTGGATTATATTGATCCTAAAATGTTTATCAATTAGTACTCCATATATACGTGTCTCTGTGTGTGTATTTTTAGTTGGTAACTAATTTTCTTTGATTAGGTGGTGGAAAGAACTAGACTTTGAAAAGAAGCTGCCTTTTGCAAGAGATAGGATTGTGGAGTTGTACCTTTGGATAGTGGGAGTATATTTTGAACCCCAATACGATAGAGCAAGAAAGTTTCTTACAAAAATTATTGCCCTGGTATCAGTGATGGATGATATCTACGACGCATATGCTACATTCAAAGAACTCGAGATCTTTACCGGGGCAATTGAGAGGTACTAATCTGAAGTAATTCAATGTATTTGCTTTTTAATAATTTAAACGTGACTTATTGTCGCAGATAAGTACTCCTAACTATATATATGCTTAAGATTAATGTGGTTTATGAAATTCTCAGGTGGGATATGAATTGCTTGGATGAACTCCCGGACTATATGCAAATATTTTATCATACACTTTTGAGTGTTATCAATGAAATTGAGGAAGAGATGGTCAAGGAAGGAAGATCATACCGAGTTTACTATACAAAGGAATCCGTATGTATACCAACATGCACATATATAGCTTTCAACGCTTACTTTTAATTAAACATATATGATCAGAAATTCTCTATGCACTATGCAGTACGTTCGAATGGATTTGTATAGATATTAATACGTCAGTAGGTTTGTTGACAATGATATCGACACTTTATTAAGAAAATTATTATTAGCACTTCAAAAATTTCATTTTGCACTCTTCACAAGTGTATTTTTCTTTCTAATTATAAAAAGTTTGGAGTGCAAAATGAGATTTTTGGAGTGCCAATAACAATTCCCTATATTAATACAGTATCCATTGTTCAGTAAAGAATTACGCAGTTTAAGTAGAAATGATATTCGCATGTGTAGATTATGTCATGACTAATACTATAGTATTATTTTTTGGGTACATTACAAAAAACTACCTCAACTATTGAGTCATTAACAGTTTCATACCTCGTCTTTAAAAAGTTTCAATGTCATACCTTATCTTCGAATTTGTTGCAATGTCATACCTTCCGCCAGTTGAGTGTTAGTTTTTCAGTTAAATGCTGACTTGGCATGAGCCGGGTCCACTTTTTATTAAAAAAATAATAAAATATTATTAAAAACTTTTTAAAAAATCACTTAATATTTCTTAAATATTCAAATATTAATTAATTTATTAAAAAAAACAAAAACAACCCCATCAGTTTCGTCCACCCCCCTCCCCCACCCCCACCCCCGCTTCTTCTCTTCTCCCCCATCTTCATCTTCTTCCCCCCACCCTTCTTCTCTTCTCCCCCATCTTCATCTTCTTCCCCTTAACACCTGCAACCCATAACAGAAAGAAAAAAAAAAAAAAAAAACCCAGATCCCATCTACGCTGCCATCACCGGGTTCGTGAGGTGGAAGGAAACCCCCTTCACCAGGCCAATTCCATGGGTGGAGAACCTGGGCGCTGATAAACTGGGAGTAATGGGTGTGGATTTAAGGAGTGGTGTGTGTAGATGAGGGAAGATGGTGGGTGCGGACTGAGGGTGGGTGCGGGTGGAAGGGTGGGTGAGGACGGAGGGCGGGTGCGGGGGGAAGACGAACTAGGTTTTTTTTTGGGTTGCAGGAAGGGGGGGTACAGGGGAAGAAGATGAGGAGGGAGGGGGGGTCTTGGCGGGGGACGCAACTGATGGTGTTTTTTTTAATTTTAAATTAATTATTATTTTAATATTTAAAAAAAATTATTAAATGATCTTTTTTTTTAAGTTTTTAATATTTTTTTAATAAAAAGTGGATCCCGTCTCATGTCACGTCAGCATTTAACTAAGCAACTGACAGTCAACTCACGGAAGGTATGATATTGTAACAAATTCAAAAATAAGGTATAATATTGAAACTTTTTAAAAACGAGATATGAAACTATTAATGATTCAATAGTTAAGTTAATTTTTTGTAATTTACCATATTTTTTATGGGGTTAGTTACTATGATTTACTAACTACGTACACATGCCCCGTGTAGTTGAAATGTGTTGCTCGAGCGTACTTTGAAGAGGCTAAATGGTTAAACGAAGGATACACCCCAACTATGGAGGAGTATTTGGCTGTTGCTATTGTGTCTACTGGCTACCCAATGCTTTCAACCGTATCCTTGGTTGGTATGGGAGATATCGTAACCAAGGAGACATTTGAGTGGCTCTTCAATGACGCCAAAATTGTTAGAGCTTCAACAACCCTTTTCAGGTTCATAGATGATATGGTTACGACCAAGGTACACAGCAGCTTCTAGTACCTATTGATTACATCCACTTTTTGACAAATTCTATGGTACCCTTTAATAATTAAAAAAGTATCAGGACTATGTAATTTCAACGTTAGTAGTGTAATAAACTTACGTCCAAGTGTGATATTTTGAAAATCTATGTTTTTGCAGTTTGAGCAAGAGAGAGGGCATGTTGCTTCTAGTGTTGATTGCTACATGAAGCAATATGGGGTGTCGGAGCAAGAGACGATCAAGGTTTTTAACAAACAAGTCGTGAATCTGTGGAAGGATATAAACGAGGAGTTCCACAGATCAACTGCAGTGCCAATGCCCGTCCTCATGCGTGTTCTCAATTTAACAAGGGTAGTAGATCTCCTCTACAAAGGTGACGATGGCTACACTCGTGTTGGTAAAGTGGTGAAGGATATTATTGCTGCACTTTTTATTGATCCAGTGCCAATTACATGAGTTGGCAGAATCCTTCTTTTGTTCTTCGCGAAAATAAAATGGCATTTAGGTCCGACGTTGTCCTGGTGTCGTTGGAATAAACGTTTGCTAGGAGTGTTGGGTTGGTTTGTTTCAAATGTGTGTAATAATGTTTCTACCAACATATATTAAAAATAAAACATAGTTTAATGGAATCAGAGAGCAGAACACGCACCGGAACCCTAGCTGCTATATTACCTCATGACAAACTGATGAACTAGTTGTCAGTTACCTTGCTACTGCACCTTAAAATATGGTTGTCACTTACCAGCACTCAGGTCAGGGGGAGACTGAAATACCTATGTAAGTCTTTTTGGCCTCCGAAAAATGATGGATAACCGTGACTTGCCATCAGTTGTCCCCTTTAAAAAGAAAAAAGAAAAAAATAGGGGAATGAAAAGATCCCCTATATTGGCTGCAAACTTAATCATGGTATTCGCATCCTCCCACCCAATTTAAATCTCAACATAAATACCACTTGTTGTGACTGATGTACATGTACCTAGGCTGATTATATATGGCCCTATAAATAATATGTGGGGGATTTAACTCAAATTCAGTGAGCTAAAAATGAAGATTATTCGTCGAGACAGTTCTGTTTATTTTCTTTTAATCAAATAGATTTTAGTCTATTAGCACTTGTGTTTACAATATTGGAAGATGTTCCATGTTCCATTCACCTTGCCGGTTAATTACAAGTAAAAAGTCAATTAATTATAACCGCAATTAGTCTCCTAGAGGTTAGGACTTGCTAACAATTATATTGATTCTACTTCTATATCTGCGGACCAACAAATGGAGGGCTAACAGTCAGCTCCGTTGGACTAGTTAATCCAAGTTCAACGACTCCAACCACTTTCCCTATCCCTTCACTGCTCAAAAGCCCAGCCCATCCCACCCTTTTGACAGGCTATCAGTGAAGACACATGTCTCTTTATTATAGGTTACTCCCGTTAAAGTCGTTACAATATTTGTGAGGCTGTTAAGTAATTTATTAGTTGGTTAGTTAATTACATGTAAGCTTGTATTGTATTCAGTATATAAGGAACTGCAACTCTCAAATGTAGTTAGTTAGTCATTTTTTCATAAATACAGAAGCTTCATTTCTCTCTAAACTTTCTTGGGTTCTTCATCTTTCTTAATTCTTCATTGTACTTTTACTTTAGACTTATATTTAGCTACACTCCTTGGAACTCGATTTTAATCCCACATTGCCCCTTGAAACTCAAAAGTCACTACTTTGCTTCCTGGAACTTGATTTTGATCCCACTTTATCCCCTGAAACTCAAAAGTCGCTACTTTTTCTCCCTATAACTTGATTTTGACCACATTTTGTCCCTTGAAATTCAAAGTCGACACTTTACTTCCTGAGACTCAATATTCACTCCACTTTGGGTTTTTTCTATGTATTCCGTTAAATAACCGTTAAGTTTACTTATGTGGTATAATTAGGGCACACTTATAAGTTATGATTGACGAGGCACAAGAATAAAGTTCACATATCCAATTAAATGAAACGTAGATTGCGACAAAAGAAGAAAAGAATAGTTTCCAAATATTGTAGAACATATTAAAATAAAGAAAAAGTAAGAAAAATAGAAAAAAAACAATGCATGAGTGTTGAATTTTTCCGGTCGACCGGCCGAGGGTTCCACTACACCAACATTGATAATATCCCCAACTTAGTAATTATTACATGTCCAATCCATCAAGTGTGAAGTTTTATCACAAAAGATCTCGGTATTACTTAGAGAGACAATCCTATTTAAAAGTGATTTTTTTTCCTCTTTTCCTCTTACAGATGTGAGATTCAACAATGAGTTTCATCTCTCTGACCTCTCTCTCCCTCTCTCTAATCATTGTCCCCCTGCCTCCATCTCCAGCCACCTTTTATCATTGGTTTCATTGATTTTGTTATTTGTTATGTTATTAATGGCGGTGCATGGTGAAGAGAGAAAATAGTTTGTTTTGTTCTTTTTACTATTTATTTATTTCAGGAGAAATTTGGCATATTATCAATTATAAATTTTGAAGAGATGAACTTATTTAAAAAATAGAAATAATGTAAAGTGAATTTTGAGTTTCAAAGAGTAAAATGACGAGTTTTGAGTTTTAGAGAGTAAAGTGGGATTAAAATAAAAATTCAGGAAGTAAAGTGACGAATTTTGAGTTCTAGGGGACATAGTAGGATCAAAATCAAGTTTTGGGGAGCAAAGTGACGACTTTTGAATTTCAGAGAGCAAAGTAAGATTGAAATCGAATTCTAGAGAGTGTAGCTAAAAATAAGCTTTATTTTACTACTGAGTATTTCTTGTCGTAAGTTTGAGCAATTTTGTGAAGAGTTTGTGACTCAAGTATTTAAAAGCGTTTAACTTATCGATATTCGGCTCCGTCAAGATCTCTCCTATAAAATAAACAAATGATTTATGAAATGTCGAATCAAAATCTTAAGAGAGGGGAACAAATTGTAGAGGAATCCCAGTGGGAAGCTTAAAGCAAAAACACAAGGTGGAAAAGCCCTTTCTTCTTTTCCTTTTTCTTTCACAAGACTTCAGTGCATTTTAGCTACAGCTTCAAAGTTTCAGCGTTCGGGCTATGAACCTAATGAACACTATGTGCAAAAGCCCTTTCTTCTTCTTTTCTTTCTTTCACAGGACTTCATTGGATTGTAGCTACAGCTTCACATTTTCAGCATTTGGGCTACGAACCTAGTGAACCCTTTGTGACCCACACCGACCTTTGTCCTTGGGGGTATTGATTTATGAAGAACAAATAAAAAGTTATTACTTTCATGAAAAATGGGGTAATGCCATGGAAAGAGATCCCAAGAACATCCTAATCTTCACAGTCCGCCTATAACATCTCGTGACAAAAATAAGATAATATATTTTCATGTGGCATTATATAATTGGTACGAAACGGGCGAAATGATAATCTATTATGCATCATAAAAGTATTTATCCTACAAAACCCATTTGAGTCATAAACCTTGATCCAACAAACCAACTGCTGGAATTCCCTCCACGTATCAAACCAAAAGCATCACGCTCCTAGTGACAAGGAAAACACAAGCTTATATGTATAGCAATTTAGCCACCACCTCTTAAACCTTCGACATGAGAAACGCCACCACCACCACCTCTTACACAAGAAATTAAGAGTTAGGCCAACTTATAATTAGAACTATAACTCACAAATGTAATTAGTTAGTCATTTTTCTCAAAAATACAGAAGCTTCATTTCTGTATAAGCTTTCTTTCTAGTTCTTCATCTTTCTCATTCTTCATTGTTCTTTTATTTTAATACTCCGTATTTCTTGTCGCAAGTTTAAGAAAATTTGTAAAAAAATTGCGGTTCAGTGCTTAAAAGCGTTTTAACATATCCATATTCGGCTCCATCAAGATCTTTCGTATAAAATAAACAAATGAGTTATGAAATATCGAATCAACATGTTAAGAGTACTGGGGAACAAATTGTAGTAGAGGAATCCCAGTGGGAAAGCTTAAAGCAAAAACCCAAGGTGCAAAATCCCTCTCTTCTTCTTTTCTTTCTTTCACACGACTTCAGGCGTTTTAGCTACAGCTTCACATTTTCAGCATTTGGGCTATGAACCTAATGAACCCTTTGTGACTCACACCGACCTCTGTCCTTGAGATAGTGATTTATCACGAACAAAAGAATAGTAATTACTTTCATGACAAATGGGGTAATGCCAAGGAAAGAGATCCTAACAGCATTCCCTAATCTTGCCAGGCCACCCCTAAGCCCTACATAAGAGAGAAACTTACACCATTACAATAACATTTCAAGACAATAATATAACGAGAAGTGTAAATTTATCTTCACGTCATATTATATAATTGGTACAAAACGTCTGGGTGGCAGTTTACCTGTGTCATATAAATACTTCTCTCGCAAAACCCATTTGAGTAAAAAAAAGCTTGGAAACAAATCGACGGCTAGAGTTCCCTCCACGTGTCAAGCCAAAAGCATCACGCTCCTGGTGACAAGGAAAAACACAAGTATATATAGCCACCACCTCTTAAACCTTCGACATGAGAAACGCCACCACGACCACCTCTTACACAAGAAATTAATTAGGTCAATTCATAATATGCCCACCCGTTCATCATCATCGTCATCTGACTCGGGAGGCGATCAGAGCCCCGAGCTCCGGTCACCTCTGCTCTCCAATGCAAATAAACCCGCCGGAGAGCCTGAATCAGAGAAACTATGCATCGACGACATGTTACAAAAGTATTGCGGGGAGTTTGGTCCGTACCAAATGAAGCACTTTGTGCTGACCAGCTTGGCTTGGGCTCTGGAGGCCTTCCACACCATGGTCATGATATTTGCAGACCGTGAACCGACTTGGCAGTGTTTGGATGGAGCATCTGGTTCGGGTTGCGATGCCAGGGCGAGGACCGTTTGCGGGCTCGAACCGGGTTCGTGGGAGTGGATCGGCGGTCTTGGAAGCTCGACCGTTGCTGAATGGGGGTTGGTTTGTGAGGAGAAGTATAAGGTTGGGCTGGCTCAGGCCTTGTTCTTCGGCGGCTGTATGATTGGTCAGTTTTCCTACTCTTCCTCTCCCCCTCAAATTAATCTGTTGTTTTGTTAGTTTATAATTTTTAAAAAATCACGGGATAATATAACATATGAGATAAACTTCTACAACTGTGAAAAGTTAAATACGTTTTTGTTCCATCTTGTTTGATAGCGAATTTGTCGATGATAGATGTTTACAGGTGCAAAGAATATAACGAGCACACAAATGGAATATACATTTTTTTTTATATAGATGGTAGAAAAGACTATCAACTCACATAAAATAATCAGTAATGTTGTAACAAAAAAAATTCATGAATTAGGAAGATATAATGAACATTAAGAATATTCCAGACAGTAAATACGGTACAAATAGTTTTATTTTGAATATATGCATGTTGACATTTTAAATGATTAAGCCATTCCATTAGATAGTAGTAATCTGTCTTTGACTAGTTCATGTTTTTCCATTTGTGGATTTGTGTGAGGAAATTAGTCAAATTATTACGACTAACCTATATGACTTAGTCTAACGTATAAATATTTTTGTATTAAAATAAACCAAAAAGCATTACGTGTCTAGTACTTTGCCCCACTTTATCTCCATGCG